AATTTTATGATTATTTTTAATAGTTAATTATATTAAAATTTTTAAATTTAATTTTTAACAGTTAAAACAGTTATTTGTTCTTTGAAACATTCATTCAAACATACAATGATTTACAATTAAAAAATGCATCTTATCTAGCTCCCACTGGCGACCACTCACACGCTGTTATTCATTAACCTCAATTGCTGTGGACTGAATGTACTTTAAAAAAAAATAGCTCATTGAGTACAGTTAGTGCTGACCATATGCAACTGTTAGTGAAGCAATCTATTGGGTCTTGAGTAACTTGCCAGAAGCCACAACCCCAGAGATAAATTAGTCCCTATTTTCACTACCATCAGTTGCTAATTGCTCCTCACCAAGTAAGTGTTGTCGCCTTAGAAAGTCCTTCCTTATTCATGCTACTATGAGTTGTTGTGTTCTTCAGCTACGTCATGCCCCCAAAAGAACCCTTCACAATACTTCAGATGCTTACATTTTTTTCTCAATGTTTCCTGAGATTTCAATAGTGGGAGGTTAATACAAATGATCCCTCTTCAGATGACCCATCATGGTAACTTATTACCATTTTAAATAGTTATGAGTCTCTGTATTAACCACTATCTACTGCAAAAGGATTCTTCTCTTATCCTGGCTCAGAATAGCCAAACACATGTGTATGAATATAAATAATGTCACTCAGGCCTGGGAGGCATTTAGGCTGAGGGCAGAGGGTCACCTCTCCTTCTGCCCCTCCAAATACAATCCTCCTGTCTCCCAGCTTTTCAGCCGGTCACCTGCTGTGGATTCCTTCCTTCTGTGCCTTCTTCTCCAGTGGATCTCAAAGATCTTCCCCTCCATCCTTTCCTCACCCCACTTATTGCATGCAAAGCCCAACCTGTAACTCCAAGAACACACAGGAAAGTCTGCCCAGGGAAGCAGGTGGGCTTAACTGCAGATCTTCACTTCTCACTCTGCTCCTCTGAATCCAACCCTCCACTCTCATCCCCAGATCTGCAGCAGAGTACTTTCTTCAGCCTCCTTTACTCCTTCCTTACCTCATCTCTAGTGTATCACAGAGATCGTCCCTTCCTAAACCCCCTCCCTTCCACTCATTGCTTTATCCCAGCTTCCAAGTCCAGGAAGCACTCCCTGGGAACCTAAGGACACTCTTACCAGGGAGACAAGTAAGCTAAGTGCAGATTATGACCTCTCCCCCAGTCCCTCCAAGTTTAATACACCAGATCTGTAGCAGACCTGCTACAACCTCTGCTCATTCTCTGCTCCCATTCTGGGGGGGGGAGGGAAGGGGGTAGGGGAGAGGGGGGAGACTAATCACTGGTGTAAACCCTGCTTCCTGGGGGGGAGGGGAAGAGGGGGGGAGACTAATCAGACACTGGTGGAAACCCTGCTTTCCTCCCTCCTGTGACTCCTTTTCTCCTCTGAACCATCTCTATTATTATAGTGCCAGCTCCCAACACCCAGACGCACATTTTCCCTGGAACCCCCAGTGGCCACACCTATCAGGATCCCAGACAATGAAGCCACCACACTCCCCTAGGAACCAGAGAGGGCAACAAAAACCATAGACCAAAACACCCAACCAACAGACAGAACCAGATATTAGCACCTGGAATTACAACCTTCACAATCCAAGATGTGTAAAAACATAGTATGTGTTCATTAGAACCCAGAAACTCTACCACAGTAGGCCTTGAATGTTCCATCACAGTTGAAGCAGAAGAAAAAAACATTAAAATAGTCCGTATGGATATGATAGATTCCTTTAAAGAGGAAATAAATTAATCCTTAAAGAAATCTATAAAAGCAGAGTGGAAAGAAATAAGTAAAATAGTTCAAGACCTGAAAGTGGAAATAGAATCAACAAGGAAAATAGAAACTGAGAGAAATCTGGAAATGAGAAATGTAGGAACTTGAAGAGAGATCTCAGGGGTGAGCTGTGAGAAGCATAGTTAAAGCTGTGGGCTATTATTTATGTTTGCATTCCCCAAACCAGGTCATTTGATCCAACTGCATTAGATGTGCTTGACTGGATGTAGGCCTGAGGTACATAGGCAGGATTACATAGGATATATGCTTGCCCCTGATTGGGCCTGATAGAAAATATAGTGGATCTGTGTTTCTGCCATTTTATGCCCCTGCAAAAAGTGACTTGTGTCCATTTCCTGGGAGGTCTAAAATGGATCGAGCCAGAGTTCATCATCCTGACCAGTATTTAACTAAAGTTTGCTTTAAATTTGGCTCAGAATTGTGGAACTGTTTTTTTTGTGAGTCTTAAGTTTAACAAAATCTCACTGACAGAATACAGGAGATGGAAGAGAGAATCTCATTCACTAAGGACATGATAGAAGGAATGGATTCTATAGTAAAAAAAGGTTAAAAATCCTGGCACAGAACACCCAGGAAAATATTGGAGACTGAAAACATTCCAAATCTACTGCTAACAGGAATAGAGGAAGGAGAAAAACCACAGGTCAAAGGTAAACAAAATAATTTCAACAAAATCATAGAAGAAAATTTTCCTAACCTAAAGAAGCAGATGGCTATGAAGGTACAAGAACCATGCATAACACTAAGTAGACTGGATTAGAAAAGAAAACTCCTCAGCACATAATACTCAAAATACTAAGGTTGATAATGGAGACCCCAAAAGCTGAATACATGTGCTACAGACTATAAGAGACCACAGATGCCATCCCAGATTACTATACTCAGAAAAAGTTAAAACAGTCAGTTTCTGCTTTGAGATCATTCCCTAACTTACTGGATGATGAACTACACATAAGATGAAATAAACACTTTGTCTCCATCAAAAACCTATACATAATATTAGTAATAACACCAGTAGATTCCCCACTCTGGCCTAGGACTGCCACAGACATAAGCTTTTTTTTTTACACTGTATGCAGTATCAAAGGTTTGAAGTTTCCAAGTCTCTTTGAGATTTTCAGATAATGTTAAAAATTGTATAATAAGTGTAATGTGTCAGTGTCCTTAAATTTTGCAAAACAAGTCCTTGCAGTAATATATGGTTGCCACAAGGTGCCACAGTTTCCCCAGCCAACAAGTCTCTAATGCCTGATGACATTATGAGGACACCTCTTGGTTAGTGTGAAAAACCTAATGAAATTATTTATTCCTTCTTCTATTGTCTTCAATGAGTCTCTTCCTCCTTTAAATACTCATCCCAGGAAGGTGCACATTTGTGAAAGCATGGCCTCAAAGAACCTGGATGGTAGCTAATTCTCTGCTTTATGCAAATAAGCTAAATAGAGGGTCAGTATCACACACTCCAAGCAATGTTGTAGGAATTTAGCAGAGTTGCCATATTTGGGGTGACATTAGAATGAGTAGTTGTTTTTGAGCAGTACTTTTTCCTTGAAGAATCATTGTGGTAAACTGTAAAGATTCTTTGTGACAAACAGTGATTGCTTTGACATGAATTAATAAAAATTCAGAGACAGATATTGAGGTTCAAGTGTCAAACTGAAGATCAGAAAAGCAAAGCAGCCAGGTCACTAGGTAACTCTACCTCAAGCCAAAATGGGTGAGCTTGTCTCTACTTATCCTCACAGTGCAATCCAGACTGCTATGCTGTCCTCAATATGGCTGCAGATTTTGCTGCTTCTTCTTTTTATACCTCTCAAATCCTGACATCAAAGGCATGTGATCCCAAGTGCTGAGATCGCCTTTATGTGAGCTGTTTCTATTTAGAACTGGGTCAATTTTGTGTAGCTCAGTGTGGCCTTGAACTAACAGAGATCTGTCTGCCTGTCTTCTGAGTCCTGAGATTAAAGGTGTATGCCACCACTGCCTGGCTCTATGGCTTGCTAGTATGGCTGCTAAGATTAAAGGTATGTATTACCACTGCCTGGCTCTGTGGCTAACTTTGCTTTCTGTACTCTCAAGCAAGCTTTAATAAGTCATAAATGATATATCACCACACCAGGATTTGTAGAATTGGGTTTCTGAAGGGGTGTTGTAGCCTTCACCACACACACACACACACACACACACACACACACACACACACAAATCATGAACGTGTGTGATGCTTTCTTTAGTGAGTCATATAGATTAGATTAGGGACCTTGGTATGAGGAATACTTTACCTCCAAAACAACTTGGTGTAACAATCAATAAATATGCCTTTGTATGGCTGTTTGGGCTTCAGTCCATTAGAGAGGTTGGACTTTCCTACTTTTACATAGGCCTTAAAAGTTTATCTTGGAGTGTGGTCTTTCTTTAACTAGCCAATCCTACACAGAATACCCTGACAGCAGTTAATTCCCTGCTTTAGGAAAATAAACAAAATTCAATATTAGTGTCACACACCCCAAGCCTAGACATGTTACTACTTTCTATGAGTGTGCCATCATGCACTCCATGTCAGAAAGGATGTATGGATATATTTGGGAAAAGATGCATAGGAAAGGGAGCAGCTGGCCTGGCTCACAGATATATTTCATGCAGCTCCTTCAAGTTCTTGGTAATGAGCATTCTCTCAGTCTGATCATTCCTGCTTTCTATACAAACATCACTGTAGCTCAAGGTATTTCAATAGAAACTTGAATATTTGCCAGTTTTTACAATTAAAGACAAAAGGCAACATATTTTACAACTTATTTGACCTCTATTTTAACATCCATTTCTAGATAGTTTCAGTACCTGTGTCCTTCATAAATAATTCCATCGTTTTTATAAAAATTGCCATAAGGCCAAAACTTGAGTCCCTGTGAACCCCACGCTGTTCCTTTTGGAGTTGCTCTTCCTCTGTTAGCTTTATGTCCTTCACCAGTGGGCTCGCTTATTAATGTCATTCTCATTCTTCTATTAGCAACATGACTCACTTCCCCTTTCCCTTACTAAATCACCTACACACTGATCAGTGATGAAGACAACTGTTTTTATATTGAATAACATATTTTAGAAACTATCTTGAGTCATTTATATCACAACCTCCATAGAATACTTTTAGCATCTTTGTGATAACCATTTACCTATGATCTTGATCCAAACTCGGTGTGCTACAGGATATTGTGACTATTTTCTAGAATTCCTGGAAATCTCAGTCTTTGAATTGAAGATTATCTATAGAAAAGAGGAATATCAGGCTAACAAAAATTCTAAAACGGATGAAAAGAAACATGAAAAAGTAAAAGGTTGTCACAGGGAAACAAAAACTCAATTACACTAAAAATTTCTGTACTGGTACAGAGGAGTTGGAAGTTTTAGAAAGTAAAACTGAGAACAAATAAATTAGTAATATTTGTTAAATAGATGATAAATATGTTAAGGGTATTACTGTATACATTCACATGTTCTACAATTAACTGGCACTGGGAGTGATTGAAAGGAAATATAAATGTTTTGTTATGACACAAGAAAGCATTTCCAAAAATCCAGTTGCATCTGTGCAATTAAGGATGAAATATCCTGTCACAGGAACCTGAGTCAGTGAGCACTGGCCTTTTCAATCTTACCCCCAAACTATCAAAACTGATCAGGACAATGCTTCTGAGAAGAACAAAAAAGATGTCAGAGAAGAGAGCTAAGGTGATATCTTGTGAGGCTTACCCTCCGGATCAGGGGTTAGGTGGTGATGAACTCCTTCAGATCGGGCTGTAGTTCTCATTCTTTACCTGTGATGCAAAGAAGATATTTTCCACCACTGGAAATAAACAGCAGTAAGATCACATATCCACTGTATACATTGTTCATAAAGAATTTGAAAATTTAGGTTCTAGGATGGAATATAAGGAAGTTGTCAAACTCATCAGGGAGGCAGGTCTTTAATGGGGTGAGACACAAGATAGCAGAGTTCTCATGAGGAGTCACAGGAACTGAAAGCCAGCATGACATGGCAAGACTTTCTGTAACAATAGTGAAGATGGCACAGGTGAAGAAGGGTTGGGCACTCACCATTCAGGTCTGGTAAGCTAGGGATGGGCATTTAGGGCAGTCTCTCCACTACTGCTTAGTTTGCCAGTTGGTGTCATCCTTGTAGATCTCACTAGCGCCTGATCTCTCTTCAAAACTATAAAGGCTCCCTCTATTTTGGTGTCTCTCATCCTGCTCTCCTCTATTCTTCTCTCAACTCAGCCTTCCTGCTCCCCCATGTCCTCCTCTCCCCTGCTCTTCAGCCCATTTCGTTCCTGGCTCCCTCTCCTCTCCCCCATGTTCCCAATCTGCTCAGGAGATCTTGCCTCATTCCCCTTCTCTGGGGTACCATGCATGTCTTTCTTAGGGTTCTCCCTGTTTCCCAAACTCTCTGGCAGTGGGATTGTAGGCTGGCACTCACCTGATTCATGTCTAAAGTCCATAAATGAGTGAGTACATACCATGTTTGTCTTTTTGTGACTGGACTGGGTTACCTCGCTCAGGATTGTTTCTTCTAGTGCCGCCCATTTGCCTGCAAATTTCAAGATTCCATTGTTTTTTTCCGCTGAATAGTATTCCATTGTGTAACTGTACCACATTTTCTCTATCCACTCTTCAGTTGTGGGGCATCTAGGTTGCTTTCAGGTTCTGGATATTACAAATAATGCTGCTATGAACATAGTGGAACATACATCCTTGTTGTATGAATGTGCATCTTTTGAGTATATGCCTAAAAGTGGAATTGCTGGGTCTTGTGGTAGACTGATTCCCATTTTCTTTTTTTATCATTTTTTATTTTAATTTTAAATAGCTTGTTTTACATGTCAATCCCAGTTCCCTCTCCCTCCCCTCTTCCCACACTCCCCTTCCCCCCCTCCCTCCCACCCTATTGCCAAATCCTTCCACATAGGGGATATCTAGAGTCTGTCATTTTACTCTTGGTAGGGTCAAGGCACTCCCCTAAGAGTCCAGGCTGAGAGAGCATCTCTCTTTGTGCTATAGGCACATGAAGACAGTTTGTATACCAGGGATAGACACTGATCCACAGCTCAGGGCCCCATAGGTTGCCCAGGCCTTCTCACTGACACTCACATTTGGGGGGGTCCAGATCAGTCCCATGCTGGCCTCCCCACTGTCGGTCTGGGGTCCAAGAGCACTCCCCTGTTCAGATCAGCTGTCTCTGCTGGTTTTGCCAGCCCATTCTTTGCCAATTTGCTCATCACTCCTCTCTGTCACTGGGTTCCTTGGGTTCAGTTCAGTGATTAATTGTGTGTTTGCCTCTGCTTCCATCAGTCACAGGATGAAGGCTCCCGGATGGTTATAGACATCAAGTTCATTATCAGGAATGGGCATTCGAGGTGGTCCCTCCACTATTGCTTAGCTTGCCAATTGATGTTATACCTTTGGATCACTCGAGGTCACTCTGGTGCCTGATCTGTCTTTGATCCTATGATTCACTCTTCCCCCTATTCTACCCCCACCCCCTCAACTTCCTGTTCCCCCATGACCAACTCCCTTCCTCTTTACCCCCTCTATTCTTCCCAGGTCCCACTCCCCCCCATCCCTCGCCGTGTTCCCCATCCATTCAGAGGATCTTGTCTCCATCCTCTTCTCTTGGGTACTATGCATATATGCATATCTTTTAGGTTCTTTTCTGTTTCCCAGACTCTCTATCTATGGAAGTGCAGACTGGCACTATCCTGATCCATATCTAAAATCCATATATGAGTGAGTACATACCATGTTTGTCTTTTTGCGACTGGGTTACCTCACTCAGGATGGTTTCTTCCAGTGCTATCCATTTCTCTGCGAATTTCAAGATTCCATTGTTTTTTTCTGCTGAGTAATACTCCATTGTGTAAATGTACCACATTTTCTCTATCCACTCTTCAGTTGAGGGGCATCTAGGTTGCTTTCAGGTTCTGGCTATTACAAACAATGCTGCTATGAACATAGTGCCCTTGTTGTATAAACCTGCCTCATTTGGATAAATGCCGAAGAGTGGAATTGCTGGGTCTAGTGGTAGATTAATTCCCATTTTCCTGAGGAATCTCCATACTGATTTCCAAAGAGGCTGTATGAGTCTGCATTCCCACCAGCAGTGGAGGAGTGTTCCTCTCTCTCCACATCCTCTCCAGCATAAATTGTCTTCGGTGTTTTTGATTCTAGCCATTCTGACAGGAGTAAGATGGTATCTCAGAGTTGTTTTGATTTGCATTTCCCTGATGGCTAAGGATGTTGAGCACTTTCTTAAGTGTCTCTTGGCCATTTTAGCATCCTCTACTGAGAATTCTCTATTTAGCTCTGTACCCCACCTTTCAAGTGGATCCTTTGGTGTTTTGGAGACTTGTTTCTTGAGTTCTTTGTAAATTTTGGAGATTAGCCCTCTGTCAGATGTAGGGTTAGTGAATATCTTTTCCCATTCTGTGGCCTGCCTTTTTGTCTTTTTGACTGTGTCCTTTGCCTTACAGAAGCTTTTTAGTTTCAGAAGGTCCCATTTGTTAATTGTCTATCTCAGTGCCTGTGCCACTGGTGTTATGTTTAGGAAGTGGTCTCCTGTACCAACTCGTTGAAGAGTATCTCCCACTTTCTCTTCTAAAAGTTTCAGTGTGGCTGGATGTATGTTGAGATCTTTGATCCATTTGGACTTAAGTTTTGTACAAGGCGATAAACATGGATCTATCTGCAGTCTTCTGCATACCATTACCCAGTTATGCCAGCACCATTTGTTGAAGATGCTTTCTTTTTTCCACTGTACAGTTTTAGCTTCTTTGTCAAAAATCAGGTGTTCATAGGTGTGTGGGTTAAAATTAGGGCTTTCGATTCGGTTCCATTGGTCTATCTGCCTATTTTTGTGCCAATACCAAGCTGTTTTCAGGACTATAGCTCTATAATAGAGCTTGAAGTCAGGTATGGTGATGCCTCCTGAAGTTCCTCTATTGTATAGGGATGTTTTGGCCATCCTGGGCCTTTTGTTTTTCCATATAAAGTTGATTAATGTTCTTTCCAGGTCCTTGAAGAATTGTGATGGAATTTTGATAGGGATTGCATTGAATCTGTAGACTGCTTTTGGCAAGATTGCCATTTTTATTATGTTGATCCTATAATCCAATCCATGAGCATGGGAGATCTTTCCATTTTTTAGTATCTTCTTTGATTTCTTTCTTTAAAGACACAAAGTTCTTGATATACAGGTCTTTCACTTCCTTGGTTAACATTATCCCCAGATATTTGATGCTGTTTTTGGCTATTGTAAAGGGTGATGTTTCTCTGATTTCTTTCTCAGTCACTTCATCATCTATATATAATAGGGCCACTGATTTTTTTGAGTTTACCTTGTATCCTGCCACATTGCTGAAGGTGTTTATCAGCTCTAGGAGTAACCTTGCGGAGTTTTTTGGGTCACTTATGTAAACTATCATATCATCTGCAAATAGTGAAAGTTTGACTTCTTCTTTTTCTATTTGTATCCCCTTTATCTCCTTTTGTTGTCTTATTGCTGTAGCTAGAACTTCAAGTACAATATTGAAGAGATATGGAGAGAGTGGACAGCCTTGTCTTGTTCCTGATTTTAGAGGAATTGCTTTGAGTTTCTCTCCATTTAGTTTGATGTTAGCTGTTGGTTTACTGTATATTGCTTTTATTATATTCAGGTACGTTCCTGTTATCCCTGATCTCTCTAGGACCTTTATCATGAAGGGGTGCTGGATTTTGTCAAAGGCTTTTTCAGCATCTAGTGAGATGATCATGTGTTTTTTCTTTCGCAGATTGTTAATATGGTGGATTACACTGATAGATTTTCTAATGTTGAACCATCCCTGCATTCCTGGGATGAAGCCTACTTGATCATGGTGGATGATTTTTCTGATGTGTTCTTGAATCCGGTTTGCGAGTATTTTATTGAGTATTTTTGCATCGATGTTCATGAGGGAAATTGGTCTATAGTTCTCTTTCTTAGTTGTGTCTTTGTGTGGCTTGGGTATCAAGGTAATTGTAGCCTCGTAGAAAGAGTTTGGCAGTGAGCCTCCTGCTTCTATTGTGTGGAATACTTTGAGGAGTATTGGAATTAGCTCTTCTTTGAATTTCTGGTAGAATTCTGCACTGAAGCCATCTGGGCCTGGGCTTTTTTTGTTTGGGAGACTTTTGATGACTGCTTCTATTTCATTAGGGGTTATAGGTCTGTTTAGATTATTTATCTGGATCTTCGGGGCCGCTCCTGGCTTCCAGAAGAGCCGCCCACACAGGAAAGAGATCAGCTCCTCCAAGACCCCAACCCAGCGAGCCCAGCTTCAGGGACCACCCGCCCACCACCCATCCCCCTCCATCTTCGGGGCCGCTCCCGGCTTCCAGAAGAGCCGCCCACACAGGAAAGAGATCAGCTCCCCAAGACCCCAACCCAGCGAGCCCAGCTTCAGGTGAGATTGGGTCCCCGGCTGGGACCACCCGCCCATCACCCATCCCCCTCCATCTTCGGGGCCGCTCCGGGCTTCCAGAAGAGCCGCCCACACAGGAAAGAGATCAGCTCCCCAAGACCCCAACCCAGCGAGTCCAGCTTCAGGTGAGATTGGGTCTCTGGCTGGGACCACCCGCCCATCACCCATCCCCCTCCATCTTCGGGGCCGCTCCTGGCTTCCAGAAGAGCCGCCCACACAGGAAAGAGATCAGCTCCTCCAAGACCCCAACCCAGCGAGCCCAGCTTCAGGTGAGATTGGGTCCCCGGCTGGGACCACCCGCCCATCACCCATCCCCTCCATCTTCGGGGCCGCTCCCGGCTTCCAGAAGAGCCGCCCACACAGGAAAGAGATCAGCTCCCCAAGACCCCAACCCAGCGAGTCCAGCTTCAGGTGAGATT